GGATTGACAAGAGTTTGTTTTGGAACATCCATCTCTCCTCATTTTTATTACTATTATTATACAGGATTTATATAGCACCAACAGTTGGCGCAGTGCTTTACAACGTATACCTTGTATACTTAAAGTAGACCTTGCATTAAGCTTGACCTAACTTCTATTTAATATTTCACTTTCTAATGGTAAACTTTCTTTTTTTTTTTAGTTTGGGTTTTAATTATCAATTTTACATCAGGTAGAGGAGGGAAAATAAAGGTTAGGTCTAGTTTGGTGTAAGTTGTGTTAATTAAAGGATAAGTTCACCTTCTGGAACACGTTACATATTTTAGGGTGGAACATGTAACATGTTCCCAATGCGGCAGCTACAGCCCGACCCCCCCCCCCCTCCCACAGAAGTACAGGGAGAAGTTCCCCGTACTTGCTGTCACTTTTTAAAAACAGTGCGGAGAACTACAGCTGTCAGCTTGTAGTTCTCGATGAACTACCTCGGCGCTGTGGAGTGCTGTGGTAGCTCACTGAATATTCTTCAATATAACTGCTTGCCCGTACACACACAGGCAAGCAGATATACTAACAGGTCTGCAGGAGACCTGCATGGCACCAGTGATCTGCACATTGTTTTTACCTGCAAAAGAATTAGCATTTCTTATTTTTTATCAAAAGGTGAAGTTATCCTTTAACACAATAAGTTACCCCAGTTTGTAAAGTAAAATGGTTCTTTGCAGATATCACAGAAAATAATTTTTTTACAACTTTACAACTACCTGGCAATTTGGAAAACAAGTAACTAATCAAGCTGAAACTTAACAGAAAGCAGTATTAGGGGAGATGGTTTAAGAAAAATACCCCTGAATCAATCTTCATAGCACCAATGCAGGTACGAAAGATGATTTATAAAGATCAATCGCTTCTGCCTATCTCGCCTTGCCATGACAGCCAGTCTTCATCAGGGCTGTTTAAAAGGCAGTGCTGACAAGGAAGAGCGATCCTCTGATTAAGGGCTCTGTCTGGCTAACCTTTTATCTGAAGAATGATCGCTACTGAGTGACAAACACTCCCAGACTGAGATGTTAGTATGCAAGTTAGCTTTGTCTCTTTGAATAGGAGATATCAGCCAAGGTGACAAATCCAGGTAAGAAAAAGTGGCATGAAATCAGTGAAGCTAACAAAAGGTGCATATTACTGGCCCATTTTTATCAAATATATGTTTAGGTATTATAAAGAAAAGGGAAAAGGGGCTTGGGTAGGCAGGTAATGGGTGCACTGCAATAGTGCCAGTAATACTGAGTTTTTAAAACTGATACAGTATATATGGCTTTGTAAGAAAATGAATTGCTAGGAATGGAGTCTAAATAATATCAACTACACACACAGCTATCTTTAAGTTACAATGATGTATATTTTAGCCAAAAAATATTATGAGTAAGACACATGTAAAATGTTAATGGGAAGCTCTAGTGTAAAAAGTAAAAAATGTAACATTTGAAATAAAGATTTTAGTCTCAAAATATTAATAAAGTATGTATTGTTTGACTAAATGGTTATAATTAAAAGCATAAGTTCACCTTTTTACAAAAAATAATAATGCACATTTTTTTGCAGGTAAAAGATCGCTGGTGCCATGCATGTCTCCTACAGACCGAGCAGTATATCTGCTTGCCTGTAAGGAATGTACAGGCAAGCAAATATGATGACAGGAAGAGTCAAAGAACTATCACGGCAATCCACAGAGCTAGCTGTCACAACGGGAGCGGGGAGGAGTGGGGGCCAGTCTATTTGTAACATGTTACATCATACACCCTGAATATGGGTGTAACATGTAACATGTTACAAAAAGGTGGACTTATCCTTTAAAGCAGGGCTTAAAATTTCAAGTCTAGACCTACTAGCCAGGCAAAAAACCTTACTCTCCACCAGTTGAAACTTTCATTTTTAGGAAATGTCTAATTAAAGATGACTGCATTGCAAGAGGAAATTATTACTGTTAAATCAGTAATAAAATAATTTAAGTGAATGAGTATATACACTGCTGGAAAAAAATTAAAGGAACACTTTGAAAACACATTAGCTCTCAATAGGGAAAAATATAATGCTGGATATCTATACTGATATGGACTGGGTAATGTGTTAGGAATGTAAGGATGCCCCATCATTTGATGGAAATTAAAATTATCAACCTACAGAGGACTGAATTCAAAGACACCCCAAAAATCAAAGTGAAAAAATTATGCAGCAGGCTAGTCCATTTTGCTGAAATTTCATTGTAACAACTCAAAATGGTACTCAGTAGTTTGTATGGCCTCCACATGTTTGTATGTATGCCTGACAACGTTGGGGCATGCTCTTAATGATACTGATGGTGTCCTGGGGTATTTAATCCCAGATCTGGACTAGGGCATCCCTGAGCTCCTGGACAATCTGAGGTGCAACCTGGCGGTGTCAGATGGACCGAAACATGATATCCTGGAGGTGTTCTATTGGATTTAGGTCAGGTGAGCGTGGGGGGCCATTCAATAGTATCAATTCCTTCATCATCCTGGAACTGCCTGCATATACCTGCCACATGAGGCCGGGCATTGTTGTGCACCTGAAGGGACCCTTGACCCACTGCACCAATGTAGCTCTAACAATAGGTCCAAGGATTTCATCCCGATCCCTAATGGCAGTCCGGGTGCCATTGTCTAGCCTGTAGAGGTCTGCGCGTCCCTCCATGATTATGCCTCCCCAGATCATCACTGACCCACCACCAAAGCGGTCATGCTGAACGATGTTACAGGCAGCATAACGTTCTCCATGGTTTCTCCAGACCCTGTCACATGTACTCAGGGTAAACCTGCTCTCATCTGTGAAAAGCACAGGGCGCCAGTGGCAGATCTGCCAATTCTGGTGTTTAATGGCAAATGCCAATCGAGCTCTATGGTGCCAGGCAGTGAACACAGGGCTCACTAAAGGACATTGGGCCCACAGGCCACCCTCAGAGTCTGTTTCTGATTGTTTGGTCATTTGGACATTCGCACTAGTAGCCTGCCAGAGGTCAATTTGTTGAGCTCTGGCAGTGCTCATCCTGTTCCTCCTTGCACAAAGGAGCAGATACCAGTTCTACTGATGGGTTAACGACCTTCTACGGCCCTGTCTTTCTCTCCTAGAGTAACTGCCTGTCTCCTGGAATCTCCTCCATGCTCTTGAAACTGTGCTGGGAGACACAGCAAACCTTCTGGCAATGGAACGTATTGATGTGTCATCCTGGAGGTGTTGGACTGCCTGTTCAACCTCTGTAGGTTTTAGGTATCGCCTCATGCTACCAGTAGTGACACTGGCCCTAGCCAATTGCAAAATTAGTGAAAAACAGTGAGAAAAGATGAGTAAGGAAAAAAATGTCAGTGGCCTCCACCTGTAAAACCATTCCTGTTTTGGGGTTGTCTTGTTGTTGCCCATCTAGTGCACCTGTTGTTAATTTCATTAACACCAAAGCAGCTGAAACTGATTAATAACCCCCTCTGCTACTTAACTAACCAGATCAATATCCCAGGAGTTGAATTGACTTGATGCTATACTCTGATTAAAAAGTGTTCCTTTAGTTTTCTTGAGCAGTGTAATTGCAAGATCACCTATAGATAATATTGTAGCCACAAACCTGTGAAATTATAAGTCTTACAATGGCAATCCAATTTATATAATCCAATATATATTTGGTGTATATTTTCTAATTCTCACAAGGTCATTAAATTACCAAAAGTAAAGCACTTAAGAAGTGTAGTAAGGAATGAATAGAAGCTGACAGGAACAATTCAGAACACAAAATAAATTCACATTTTAAGATAAACTAATATCTTCTTTTCAACAGACACAAGAACATGATCCATAGATGTGTTTGTTCTATTTCAGTTATTTCATATCTGACTGAAGTAGTGGCCAAGATTGTCAAAAATCCCTATCAATTACAAAGGGTAATCTGTGATTGATCGGCAAGCTTTTAATCAAAACTAGAAAGTGCATTTAGGTTATCAGCAGCCTGAACACTATAGCCTAAGAGTGACGTCTTCCCTTTCTATTACAGCATATTTGAATGAAGTGTTTGAATAGCTTTCTGGTCTTTCATCTTTACAGCTTTCAAAGCCCTCATACTTCAGATCTGATCTGTAACAAAGAAATATGACTTTCCAGTTTGACAGCTTGGACATAATTAAAGACTGCTGTGAATGTACTGCCATGCCGAACAAGTCAGCTTCATAATGCATTTTATAAAGCACTGTTTACCCTTCAAACAATTCTCTGACAAGGTTTAAACAGGTGTACTTTGGATTCTTTTCATACAAGATTTGCAAAACCTGGGGATATGAACTTTTTTTTAACTTCGCTTACTGAGCATACACAATCTATTCATTCACACAGGGTCAAAACATTATCAGCCTAAGCTGACAGAGAAATGAATAGATCTTCTCTTATTACAACGGTCTGTTTAGATAAAAATATTCATGTAGCAGGTGTGATATTCTCAAGTGAAGACCAAGTAAGGCTATGAGCGAAGTCTATAGTTAAAGTGGAACTTCACCCTAAATGTTCTGCTTTTAAAAATCCTTCCCCCCTCTTCTAACATTACAGGCACTTTATTTTGGGGAAAGGGGGGAGCAGGTACCTAAGTTTGGCAGGTACCAACTCCCACCTCTGCTGGAATCAGATTCCACTGGAAGTTCTTGCCCACCCACACCCTCTTAAGAAACATCGCAGGTCCCAGGAGGTTGCAGGACCATTCACAGAGCGCAGTGTGACTCACACATGTCAGTGGGAAGCCAGCTGTGAAGCCATAAGGAGTCACAGCTGACTTCCCACAGTAAACATGCCTGTGCCGGAGACCCAAAGACCAGCGAAGAACCGGCCAGGTGAGGATGGCACTGGATTCCTAGACAGAAAAGTGTACTTTTATTAAAGCGTTAGTAGACCCAGCACCCTGCATTCACTATTTGTGGTCTCCCACAGTACACAGAACATGGAAAGCAATTAGTTTAGTAAATATAAACTGCTAAATACCTTTTCTCAACAGCAGTATAATCAGTCTTGCGACTTCTATCAGTGTCAAGCTGGGCACTGGTTAAAGCTTGTACGAGGAGTTTTCATTTTCCTCTCACTGCCCTATGAGATTGCATAACCCCTGGACAGTGCAGATTTACCCTGTGCCCTGCACCCTCCTAAGAAAAAGATAAAACTCTCTAGCAATACACACCAAACTGAGCATGTGCAGAGTGTCCCCGAGGCTGTGTTTTATCAGGAGATGAAATGGGGAATGTGATAGAAGGGAAGAATCAGAGAAGACAGGATCAAACATCATTTTTACACAATGCAAAGAATTAACCCCTTAATTTCCACAGTGAGTATAACAAGCATGCTTTACTGTATATACAGACTGATTTTACTGTTGTGGGTTTAGTAACACATTAAATGTCAGCAGCTGCACTATTTGTAGCTGTTGACCTTTATTTTTTTTTTCTAGTAAACTGAAGATCCACTTTAACCACTTGCCACCCAGGCCAACTCTGACATGTAAAAATCATAGTTTTTAGCTAGAAAATGACTTAGAACTCCTATGTTTTTAAGCAGAGATCATAAAGAATTAAATGGTGGGTGCTGCAATTTTTTATGTCACACAGTATTTGATCAGTGATTTTTCCAGTGCAAACTTTTTGCAGCTGCAGGCATCATCCCAGTATAACCAGTGAAACTGCAGCTCTTCTGAGAAGGCCTCGGTCGGCAGGGGTCAGGACCCACCAAAATTGGTCTAAGGAAATAACACCAGCAAACCAGTGGCAAGGTTATGGGGGGGCCAAGGCTCATTGGTGTATGTGGGGAGTGAAGGCTGGCCCATGTAGTCCAATCCAATAGAAGAGCTACTGTAACTCAAATTGCTGAAACAAGTTAATGCTGGTTCAGATAGAAAGGTGTCAAAACACAAAGTGGATCACAGTTTGTTACATATGGGCTGCATAGCCATCAGGGTGCTCATTCTGGCTCATGTTCACAGCAGAACGTGCCTACAATGGATGCATAAGCATCCGAACTGGATCATGGAGCAATGAAAAAAGGTGACCAGGTCTAATGAATTCAGTAATAGTTTGAGGAACATAACAACAAGTTTGAGATATTGACTTGGCCTACAAACTCACCAGATCGCAGTCTAATCAAACATCTGTGAGATGTGTTCAAAAAACAAGTCCCACTCATGGAGGTGCCACCTTATAACTTATATGACCTAAAGAATATGCTAACAGCTTGGTTGCAGATACCACAGCATACCTTCAGAAGTCTAATGGAGTCCATGCCTTGACAGATCAGGGATGTTTTTGGTGAGAAAAAGGGGACCTACTCAATATTAGGTTGGTGATCATAAGGTTATGGCTGATCGATGTATGACCCATAGTTGACAACTTAGTTTTGATTGAGGGACCACATTTTTCAGAGATGTATTGACACAGCAAATACAAGTAACAAAATACCTACACTGAGGTTTCCAAAGATCTCAAAGATCACCTCATTCCCTTGGATAGGACATTCATATGGGAATCGCATTACCAATCCCAATAAAGTTTAAGAAATGCATATTCATTGACAAATGACATCATTCAGCTTGACCAATTCTACTCTGATTAGATCAATTGTCACATAGCAGAAGCTGAATTATCTAAAAGTGTCACAATATCTATCGTCTTTGTATTGTTGGTATCCCTAACTAAATAGCTTTTATTGGTTTATATGCTAATAGCATAATGACAGCAGCAAATGTTTTTTCTTACTAGCTCAGGTTCTGACCAGAGAATTGGTGTGTAACTCAGAGAGTCTCACAAACTACTTAGTCATAAAGTCCTTAAGACTAAGCAATTTGTGTGCAAAATGCATAAAGGTTTCCTATCTTGATACCTGTCTACACTGTGCATCTGTCTATACTAATAAGCTTTGGCCTTACATCGAGGATCCTACTCCTTGAATTTCTTTCTATGTACTTGGACTGGGCAAAACAAAGGCCAGTGTGAGACTCCTGTGCCCTAATCCTAAGGAATCTAGGACAGGCTCCTTTTCAGCAGTAGGTAATTTGATAATCGGGTATAGTATTGCTATACAGGGGCAGAATATATATACAGTGGGGATCAAAAGTTTGGGCACCCCAGCTAAAAATTTGTATTAATGTGCATAAAGAAGCCAAGGAAAGATGGAAAAATCTCCAAAAGGCATCAAATTACAGATTAGACATTCTTATAATATGTCAACAAAAGTTAGATTTTATTTCCATCATTTACACTTTCAAAATAACAGAAAACAAAAAAATGGCGTCTGCAAAAGTTTGGGCACCCTGCAGAGTTAATATCTTGTACTGCCCCCTTTGGCAAGTATCACAGCTTGTAAACGCTTTTTATAGCCAGCCAAGAGTCTTTCAATTCTTGTTTGAGGTATCTTTGCCCATTCTTCCTTACAAAAGTCTTCCAGTTCTTTGAGATTTCTGGGCTGTCTGTCACGCACTGCTCTTTTAAGGTCTATCCATAGATTTTCAATTATGTTGAGGTCAGGAGATTGTGAAGGCCATTGCAAAACCTTCAGTTTGCGCCTCTTGATGTAATCCCCCGTGGATTTCGAGGTGTGTTTAGGATCATTATCCATTTGTAGAAGCCATCCTCTCTTTAACTTCAGCTTTTTCACAGATGGCATCAAGTTACTATCCAAAATTTGCTGAAATTTTATTGAATCCATCTTTCCTTCTACTCGTGAGATGTTCCCTGTGCTACTGGCTGCAACACAACCCCAAAGCATGATTGATCCAACCCCATGCTTAACAGTTGGACAGAGGTTCTTTTCATTAAATTCTGTGCCCCTTCTTCTCCAAACGTACCTTTGCTCATTCCGGCCAAAAAGTTCAATTTTAACCTCATCGGTCCACAGAACTTGTTTCCAAAATGCATCAGGCTTGTCTATATGTTCATTTGCAAAGTTCAAACGATGATTTTTGTGGTGAGGACGTAGAAGAGGTTTTCTTCTGATGACTCTTCCATGAAGACCATATTTGTACAAGTATCTCTGTATAGTGGAATAGTGTACCACAACTCCAGTGTCTGCCAGATCTTTCTGGAGGGATCGTGCAGTCAAACGTGGGTTTTGAATTGTTTTTCTCACAATCCTGCGAGCTGTTCTGTCTGATATTTTTCTTGGTCTTCCAGATCTTGCTTTAACTTCCACTGTTCCTGATGACTGCCATTTCTTAATTACATTCCGAACAGAGGATATTGACATCTGAAAACGCTTTGCTATCTTCTTATAGCCTTCTCCAGCTTTGTGAGCGTCAACTATTTTCAGTTTCAGTTTTCTAGACAACTGCTTAGAAGAACCCATGGTGCTGATTGTTGGGGCAAGGTCTGATGAGTCTGGGCATTTAAAAACCTTTGAGCTTGACATCACCTGGTCTTCCCAGACGATGATTGAGAACAATCCATGACACTGGCAGGTCTCAGCTTTGCAAAGGGGGCAGTGCATGCTATAAATTCTGCAGGGTGCCCAAACTTTTGCAGATGCCATTTTTTTGTTTTCTGTTATTTTGAAAGTGTAAATGATGGAAATAAAATCTAACTTTTGTTGACATAATAATATAAGAATGTCTAATCTGTAATTTGATGCCTTTTGGAGATTTTTCCATCTTTCCTTGGCTTCTTTATGCACATTAATACAATTTTTTAGCTGGGGTGCCCAAACTTTCGATCCCCACTGTATATATAACATTGCCCCAAACTATATCACCGACCTGATATCCAAATACCACCCAAAACGTACTCTCCGCTCCTCACAAGACCTCCTACTCTCTAGTTCCCTGGTCTCCTCCTCCCATGCCCGTCTCCAGGATTTCTCCAGGGCTTCCCCCATCCTCTGGAACTCCCTACCACAATCCATCAGACTATCACCTACTCTCCTCTCCTTTAGGTGCACCCTGAAAACCCATCTCTTCAGGGAAGCCTACCTCGCCCCCAGCTAATTGCCAATCTCCTCCACTCTTCCTACCACTCCATCCCCCACAGCTATTTCCTCCTGTACCACTATCCCCTTCCTCCTAGATTGTAAGCTCCAAGGAGCAGGGCCCTCGAACCCCTCGTGTATCGCATTGTATTGGTAATGTACTGTCTCGTGTACTGTCTCCCATTGTAATGTACAGCGCTGAGCAAACTGTTGGCGCTATATAAATACTGTATAATAATAATATAGCACCACACTACATACCATCAACATGAACTGAAATCACCATCCTGTGGCCGTGTGCAACAGATGCAGCTACAGCTCATCCCAGGAGAAAATCTTCCTTCCCCCTTCTCAGTACTGATCTCTATCCTAATAGTTTTGTTCTTACTTCCCCAGCCCTGACTCTGCACTGTGCAGAGGGCTTTAACCAGCGCTAGGATGATGTTGAGCGAGTAACATGGACAGTCAATAGCACTTCATAGGAAAGTGTCCCACAGAGCAAAAGTTATACACCAAAAGGTGTAGTCTGCTGGACCACTGAAGATACATGGGAGGGGGGGCAACCGTGGTCTGTAAACTGTTTATTGAGCATCTCTGTCTTAATGTCTGTTTTCACCCAAAACAAATATTTCAGTACTGGGTGGCCACCTACAGGAGGTATCTATTAACTTTAGTGGGACATTCTCCCTTCTAAAGTTCTCTGCTTATGTGTGTATCACCTGTGTACTACTTGGACCAAAAAGAATGGGTTAGACCCTTAAAAGTTTGCCCTGATGCTACAAACTGAAATTTGAAATTGAAAAAGTGTACAGTACTCCATTGTGTTGATCATCTGTAAGCATGCCTTCAGTGCCCTTACCTAGGAATGAAAAAAAAAATAATACTGCTATCCTTTTTGTCCAAAGTGTATATCTAACCAATAATTTAGGAATATATTGGTAGCACAGACCTCATAGTATATTTTACAGGAATTATGAATTTAGGTGTATCTCTGGGCAAAACTTACTTTTTTAATTTTGGATAGGATGTGGAAGGCTTAGACTCTGCCAAGTTTTTATTGCTGTGGTCAGGCAGAAAGTGAGGGGAAATGCAAACATTTTAAGTTGATCACAAAACAAGAGGTAAGAGGTAATTGTTCAACATCTCTGCTCCAAAGACAACTGTCTAACGAAGGAATTTTCCTCACTTTGGGAGGTTTCCTTCAACTTCCTGTTGCATGTCTGGGACAGAACATGAAGGAAAATGTCCTCAGTGGTACACAGATAGTAAAGAATAACCTGACAGGTTTTTGAACCCTCACCTACTCTACCCAAAAGTAAAAAAAGTTTGGATATACGT